CCGGTGGCGCAGCTATTAAGTTCGCGTGTTCTGCTTCCGCGGCCTGGGGTTCTCTGGTTTGGATCGCGGGTGCGGACAAGGCATCACTTGGCAAGCCATGCTGTGGTAGGCGTCCCACTTATAAAGTAGAGGAAGATGGGCAACGGATGTTAGCTCAGGGCCAGTCTTCCTCAGCAAAAAGAGGAGGATTGGCGGCAAATGTTAGCTCAGGGCTAATCTTCCTAAAAAAAAAAATTTTTTTAATTTAAAAAAAAATAAAAATTTGTCTTTATCATACCCAATAGAGGGCTTTTATCCTTAATATGTGAAGACTTTTCAAAAGCAATAGTAAAAGTATAAGCTAAGAACAGAAATAGGTAATTCACTAAAGAAGAAACACAAATATCAAATCAACAAAGTGCAAAGTCACTGGTCTTTCACGTAACACGTTAAAACAATGAGATTTCATTTTTAACTTCTGAACAAATTCCAGATCCTCTTCGACTTATGATGGAGTTACATCCCAATAATCCCATTGTAAGTTGAAAATGTCGTTAAGTCGAAAATGCATTTAATCCACCTAACCTACGGAACATCATAGCTTAGCCTAGCCTGCCTTAAATGTGCTCAGAATGCTTATATTTGCCTACATTTGGGCAAAATCCTCTAACACAAAGCTTATTTTATAATAAAGTGCTGAATATCTCATGTAATTGGATACTGTACTGAAAGTGGAAAACAGAATGGTTGCGTGGGTACGGAATGGTTGGAAGTGTATGGATTGTTCACACTCCTGATCGTGGGGCTGATGAGGAGCTGCGGCTGCCCAGCATCAAGAGTATCATACCTCGTACCGCTAGCCTGGGAAAGGATCAAAATTCAAAATTTGAGATACAGTTTGTACTGAATGCGTATCACTTTTGCACTATCATAAACTTGAAAAATCATAAGTCAAACCACCAAAAGTCAGGACCACCTATATTCAATGAATGTCGTCTTTCATGCTGGCAGTGTGGCAGGCACGGTGCCAGGTTAGAATACTCATGTGGGAAAACAGTAGGAGAGAAAATGGACACTTCATACAAAGTTGGTGGCAGTATAAGTAAGTATGGCATTTCTAGAGAGTAATTTGGGAATGCGTATTTAAAACTTTTGACCTTGGGGCCGGCCCGGTGGTGCAGCAGTTAAGTGCACACATCCTGCTTCTCTGCGGCCTATGGTTCGCTGGTTCGGATCCCAGGTGTGGACATGGCACTGCTTAGCAAAAGCCATGCTGTGGTAGGCATCCCATGTATAAAGTAGAGGAAGATGGGCACGGATGTTAGCTCAGGGCCAGTCTTCCTCAGCAAAAAGAGGAGGATTGGCAGCAGTGAGCTCAGGGCTAATCTTCCTCAAAAAAAAAAAAACTTTTGACCTAATAATCACACATCTAAAAAATAATCAGAGATATTTCCAAAGATTTAACTACTAGGATGTACTTTACACTATTTTTTTTCCACATAACAAACCAAAATATAAATGATGTCAATTTCAAACTGAAGATTAGTTAAATGCATCAATGTATCTAGCTGATAGAATATTATACAGTTATTAAAATTTATGCTGAAGAACAGAAATATATTTACTATGACATAATATTATAAAGTATGATCGTGAACAATAAAAATACTAATGAGGCATATGCATGGGAAGACATTTAAAAGGATATTTGTCAAAATATGAACCGTGATTATCTCCAAATATTGCATTATAAATGAGATCCATTTTCTCAGAGCTACCATTGCACCTAACAGATTTGGGCAGTGTCAGAGAATATGTCTTTGTTGATTGCTTTGTTGATTGTTATTTAGGAGACCCTGATGGCTTTCTACTCCACATCCATTTCCCTTCCTCTCCTTCCCGGAAACTCAAATTTTATTCAGGTGCCCACATTTTCCTAAGAAGTGTGGTTTGGGGAGGCTAGCCGCAGTCCCAGCCCCAGAGGTAATTCCTGATTGGTCAAGGCTTAGACTCTGAGCTAATCATGGTTCTTCCAGTTCCCTTTAAGGATGGGCATGTGATCCAGTTCTAGTCCGATGAGATAGGAGGGGTCTACAGGAAGGAAAGGAGGCTTCTGAGGAAGTCTTTTCTGCTTATGGATGTTATGTCAGGATGTGAAACTTAAAACTTGACCATGAGGAGAACCAGCCTTAGAATAAGGTTGTCACTGAAGAGGGCAGAGTGGAGAGTGGGAAGGCATCTAGGTCCTTGATGGCACATTTAAGCTACTGATTATACTATGCCCAGAGACTCCTTATTTCTTGATTTTTTGTTGTGAGATAATAAATTTCCTTACTGCTCAAGTTTATTTGAATTGACGTTTTCTGTTACTTGCAGCTAAAGATATCCTCACTGATACAGTACACACTGGAAAAAATGGAGCTCAGCAATCTTCCTGAGGAGAATTTTGTTATAGGATAACTCTGAGGGAGGAGGGAAAAATTAGGACCCAGATGTTGTCCAAAACATAAAAGGATCTCCTAGAATTTGAGGAAATGAGGAATTAGTAAAAATACATTTTGGTGAAAACTTCTTTGATCAGAACATGATAAAAGAAATGAAATGGTTTTCTCCTCTATCTAATTAAATAATTATTTCCTATTGTTAAAGATTTCTTCTAAAAAAATGACTTTTGTTTGACAAAAATGTTCAAAGCAAATACAATTTTCCATTTCCAAAATTTAAAAGTAACTCATTCGTTATTCTCTAAAATTTTACTCTTCTCTAAAATCTTCCAGGACATTTGTTTTTTGCACACTATTGGAAACTATTCACAATGATAACATTTTACTTTCATGTAGCTAAATCTATGAAGTAATCAGATTGTGATTCAACATAATTTGTTCATGAAATCTACATAGAAGTAGGTAATTTCATAGAAATCTAACAAAACAAGATGAAAAATTGATTATTTGGTTAAATGTATTAGAGAAGTGGTTCAGCTTTAATGTCCTCAATTTATTTTATAAGAAGTAGAAGAATCTGTTATGTGTGTTTGTCTTAATTTCTTTTCTTTTAATATTACTTAACATCTATAACTGGTAGTCATTAATATGAGTTACTGATAATTCCTTTTTATTATTCACAAAATATACCTTGCGACCTTTGCTCAGAAAGAAAGGCTCAGATATTAATGAACAACTTTATTATTTCAAGGTTGGGTTCTCTACTTATGTGAGTTTTCAGCTATTAATTTTAACTGCAGTAATTACTATATGTCTTTGTTGATCATTTCAGTTGGCTACTCAGATTTTAAATCCTACCGGGTTTTTTTGTAACTAGTGATTTTAAAGTTTTGACGTTTAAGAATTTCAATGGTTTTGTACAATGTTTCTGGACTTGGCTTAAACGTTGAAATTTAAAACCCTTGGTTAATGATCAGAAGCATTTGAGGTGGTCATATATGGCACTTCTCAACCTTTGTCCCCAAGGACACACCTGATCCTCCTATCAGCTGTATGTAAATCCCGCTCATTAATTGTAGCTCCACTCTTCTCTCTGTATGTAGGAAGTGGAGCTTTACAGGCATTACCTTCAATCTAAGAACAAATCATTAAGAAATATTGGCACTTTTTATCAGCAACAAATTACTGGAACGTTCCTCCTGACACTTCATCGCACTACACTAACACCTCATGATGCCCCATGACTCCCAGGGAAAAACACTGCTCTGTAGTTACTACAATGCCCTGGGAAACAAGAAACAAAAGACAAAAAAAGAGAGTCATCCCCCTTATATTGGAGAATAACCCTTGTTGGGGCAGTAACTTACCCTCTCTATGCTCAGTTCTCTTTACGCGACAAAATGAAAGCTACAGGAAGTTCTCATGAAAGTATTAGTAAGTTTAACATTATCGTTTTGAGAGCTTCAATTTCATAAGATAGTATGGAGGGCTTGGCAAAGAAGGGAGGGAATCAAACGTGGAGAGCCTAGAATCATAGGCTGAAGAGTTGTACTTTTATGTAATGGAGACTTGTAGCAATTATTGAACAAGTTAGGAGCATGATCATCAATAACTATCTTGGGAGAAAAACTAGCAGCAGTGCGTAGAATGGAGGTGAGAGAGATGGAAATAAGAAAAGTTAGCAGAGTATTACAAAGGTCCAGAGGAGAGACGCTGAGGGTAATTGCTGTGGAAGGGGGGTGGGGGGGAGGAATGGGACCAATTTAAGAAGGAATGCAGATAATCAGTTATAGGAGCAATAGGATTTGGTTACTAAATGGTGTGAGGAGTGAGGGAAAAGAAGGAAGGATTTGAATAGCACTTTGAGGTTTCTGGCCTGAAGATCTGAAGATGCTGCTGCCATTAAGTGGGTGAAAGCACAAGGATTGCTTGTTTGTGGGTGCGTGCATGCCTGTGTATGAGTAACAGGTGAAGCGGGGCAGGGGTTAAAAGGAATGATTTTGTCCTGTTGTTTGAAGTGCCTGTGGACACCCGTGTGGTGCTAACCGGCTGGACAGTTAGAGTAGGTCTGGGGACATTTCTTCGTATAAAGGAAAGGAATACTCTTGTAATGCAAACAGCTCATTTTTATAGTACTCAACCATAAGCGCCACAAACCATGAGGTAGTTATTACCTCGCCAGCAGTAAAACTTGATTACAGTCCCTGACTTCTGACTGTGTGAAGGCCCTTGGTTCCCACAACTTCCAGGGGCAAAATGATATTAATTGTGATTAATTATCGTGTGGCACAATACAAAGACTAGACGATTTATTGTGGCTTCCAGAGGGCGCTTGCTTGCTTTTTCGCTGCATCCCTCAGGGAAAGGGAACTGGACAGCTCCCTGGGTGGCCCTCGGCCTTTCCTGGGCGAGAACCAGCCAGGCGCGAGCTGACCCCAGCCAAGTGGGTCCGGGCCCTCCGGCCCTCTCTGAGTCGGCGGCTCCGACCTCGGGCGGGGAGCCCCGTGGCCCTCCTCCCTAGCTCGCGGACCCCGGCCCTGCGCCGGGGCGGGCGGGGCTGCCCCGAGGCCCCGCCCCCTGCCCGCCGCCGCCGGCTCCGCTCGGCCGCGGTGCGGTGCGCGCCTGCGCTGGCCCTCGCCTCGGAGCAGCCATGATGGTGGGTGTTCTCCGCGGCGCCGGGCCCCGGGCGCGCGGTGGGGGCGGCGGGCGCGGGGCGGGAGCCGGGGCCGCGCCGGCCTGGCACTAATGTCTCCTTTTGTGTCTCCCCCACTCCGTCCTCTCCTCCGGCGCGCCGCGCCCCGCCAACCCCACAGGAAGGCCTGGACGACGGCCCCGACTTCCTCTCGGAGGAGGACCGCGGAGTAAGTTCTGCCTCCGCCTCGCCCGCGGGCCCCTCCCTCCCCCCTTCGGCCCGGGGTGTGGTCCCGGGGGTCCTCGGCCGCGCGGCGCCCCCTCCCCGCCGGCCGCCTTTCGGTTTTCTCGCCGCCGCGCCCCGCCCCGCCCTCCTGCAGCCCTTCCTCTTCGGGGCCGCTTCGCTTTGATTTCCCGGGACCGCGGCCGCTTTCTCGTGCCCCGCCCCGCTGGGGACCCCCGGGAGGACCTCCTCCCCGGCAGGGTCGGGGTGCAGGTGGGGAAGTGCAGGTGGAGGCCGGAGCTGGACCCCCGCCCCGCCACTTTGGTGGCGATGAAACCCATCCTCAGACCTTCCTGGCGGCATCCTAATTTTCTCCCCCGTGGACCTCGAACCCGCTCCCGCCCACCCGTCTCTCCCTCTGAAACAGATAATGGCACAGGCTTGTGCTAAATTACCCCTTTGCAAGGGATTTTTACGGTCACCATATCTTAACTCTTCTCCAGTATCCTCTCAGATTTTGCAAAGTGTTGGGAGCCCACGCTGCCTTTACTTTTCTTAATGTCCCCAAAATACATCTTTTGTAGAGTTCCCTTGTTGTTGTTTTGAGGAGAATTGAATTCCACTTCAGAAAGGGCCTTCAGGGCTCCGACTCCTCCCTCCTACTCTCTCCCCCCATTTGCCTTGGCTGAAGGGTGGTAATAGTGCCTTGTACAAGTGAGCACTTGAAAAATATTGATATGTGATGATTCCAGCTCAGCAACGTTCCACATTTAACAGCCTGCACTTCAGTTTTGCATTTTGCTTTTACTTATTCATCTTAGATAATGCGAGACACATCTGTTAGTCGACTTTTGGTAGGCGATAAAATATTTTTGTAAGATGATGATGATAATTAGAAAAAAGTTATTTTTTTCTAATAAGAGATGAAGTAGTTAGTATTAACTGATGACCTTTATAAGAGCTTTCAAATGTTAAAAAAGATGCAGAGGGTGTTATGTACTGTATTTGGGGTTAAATAGGGGAAACCAGCAGATTTCTTTAGGAAATGAGACGAATTGATTATAGCACAAACTGATTTTTCTAAATATAGAGCATATAGCCTTCTTTGTTTGGATAACAACTTTTGTGTCTTATTTTTGTGGTCTACCAGGAAAAGCAAACAGGATTTGCTCTCTTTAAAATCTGACTCGTGTTCAGTAAAAGTATTAATTTTTTGATTTTTATGTTTATGTGAAATTAGAGTATTTTCTGGTGAATATTTGTGTTCCTGACTTTATGCCTTTGGTAAGATTTGCTTATGGAACTGGAACCAATTAAGTAATATGTCCAAAAACTTTTTTCATGTATTACAAAATTAGAGGGAGACAGAGACAAAGAGCGTGCGTGACCGGGAGGTTCTTGTAGAATCTTGTAGATGAAAATTTTAATATGAAAATGGAAAAAACATTATCATGAATTAGAAGCAGTTGTCATAATGAACTTGTATACGTGTCCAGGTCTTCCTTATTTTTGTCCTGTGGAACTGGGTGAATCATTGTACGTAATAATCTTAGCTGGCACTGTGTTAAGCACTTTTTAAGTGTTTCCTTATATCCTCTCATCATCCCTGTGAGGCTTTTAGTATCTGCCTTTTACAGATGAGAAATCTGAACCTTAGAGAAACTAAGTAGTCCGAGGTCCCACAGCCAGTGAGTGGGAGAGGTGGCCTTGAAACACTTGCTTCAGAATCACCTGAGGTGTTTGAAAAACAGTTTCTGGGTCCTCACCCTAGTAAATCAGTCTCATGAGGTGAGAAGAACAGATAACTACTTTTTTTAACAAGCACCCAAGAAGATCCCATTGTGCACTGAAGTCTGATTACGGCTGCACAAAGTTATCCTGCCCCTTCCTTGTTTCAGGAACAGGAATATCTGGCCTGTTTAAATTTCCTTATATTGTGTTTGTCCTGATAGAAATAGATTGCCATAACGAGAACTTTCAGGCACTGCACTTTTAGTTTAGATTATCTTGTTCAGTCTGTTAAGAAGGAGAGTTGATAGAGAAAAAGCATGAAGTGCATATTTGATATGAATTGCAGAGGGGACATCACAGATTCAAAAATAATAGTGCAAGCATTTCAAACAAAGCAGCAAATAACACAAGATTCAAGTCGGTATTTTTAAATAAATTTCTTTAAACAGACTTAAATTTTCATCATGGTATTTGGAACAGGAGAGAATCTTACAAGCTTAAGAAAATAGTGTTTTGTGAGAAGCTTAAAAAAGAGACTTTAAGAATACGCAATATTGAAAATCATTAGCCACTTTTTGATCTCTTCAGCCACACCACTCCATAATGGGGTCCCCCCTCCAAATGAAGGACAGTAACATTATTTAGTAAACAAATGAGCCCTTTGAACTGGACACATTTTACTCTGTGATGCTTGTTAAAAGAGCATTGGGTGCCAGTGTGAAGGTGTAATTCTCTTAGCATTTGATTTGAATTCTAAATAATATGTTTACTGTTTTCAAAATTATTTTGGGTGGAGTAACTACACCTCTCCTGGACTCCTAGCCTTGCTCCTCCCTCTCTGTTCCTTATCTCATTAATGTCTTCATTTTCCGGTCATGCAGGCAGGGAACCTGCATCATCATGTCCTTCATCCCCATATCAGAACAGGCACAAGGCCAGTAAATTTCACCTTGGAAATGGTGTTCATCCCATCCTTCATTTGCATGGCCGCAGTTAGGGTCCTTGCTGTTTCTTGCTTGGATTGTAGCTGTACCTGTCATAAATCGCTGTCTCCAGTCTTTCTACTTTCCAGTCCAGCTTCCACATTACTTCTAGTTACCTAACTAGAATGTTTATATCACAGAGCACCATCAGGCAAAAGGACTTACTCAGACCCCATTCTTTTTGCAGTAAAGTCCAAACTCCTTGGGCTAGCCTTCAACACAGCTCATAACCCTGCCAGGCTGGCTTCGTTTCTCACTATGCTCCCCGCTATCACCGCCGCTCTAGGCTCACTCTACTTTGCTTGTCATTGCCCAAGCATCTCTCCACTTTAATGTCTGCTTTATGCATGCTTTTCAATCTTGTGGACTGCTTTTTTTTCCTCACTTGAATTTGACTTATCTTTCAAGACTTGGCCCAGATGTTTACATTTTCTTTTGTACCTACTCAGTATTTAGCTTGAACACAGTCCACATTTATTGATAGTTATTTCAGATAAAAATGTGACAGAGATTGTGTTGGCAGAGGATAAGAAGATGAATGTTGGCCGAGGAAGAAGAGAAAGTTCCTGCCCTGAGACGATCACTTGTAGTGAGAGACTTATGATAAAATGCCAGGAGAGTACAAAGGAGAGAGTGGTTCCCTTGGGAGGGGGACTAGTGAATACATAATGATAGCTATACACTGGTATTGCATTTACTGTTTGCCAGGGACTTTCCATGTATCAACTCATGTCCCAAATCCCTGTGAAGTAGGTGCTGCTACTATTCCTACTTTGGAAAGGAAAACTGAGTCTCACAGAGATTAAATACCTTGCCCAAGGTCGTACAGGCGGTGAGAGCTGGATTCAACTCGGGCAGTCTAGCTGTAGGTCCTGGCCTCCTAACCACGGTGCTGCCTCCCAAATGAGCTAAGTCTTAATTGTTGACCAGGAATTTTGGAGGCGCTCAGGGAAGGGGAAGGCTTGCCAGCAGAGAGGATACCATGTATAGGTAATTTGGTTCTACCTGGAGCACTTGTTTTTACTGGAAGCAGGGTTGCAAAGGTAGATATGGATAGTACAGATTAAGAGTGTAAAATGCATGATAAAGACTGTGGGCAGTGGGAAGTCCTGAGGGATTTTACGCTGGGAAAGATAAATGCCCAGAAAACAGCATTGTAGATTACTCTGATGTGGAGAGTGGTTTGAGGCTTCCTCTCAGAAAGCAGAGAAGCCAGTTAACAGCTGTTGCCCAGATGAGAAATGATGAAGGTGGAACTAAGACAGTGGAAAAGGGGACGAAGGAGGGGACATAGCAAAGAGATGTTTACGAGATGGAATTGGCAGGGCATAGTGACTGAGTAAGGCCATGGCTGGGCAGAAGAGAAGGAGAAAATGAATATTGGAGAGAAGGCCAGAGTTAGGAGGGAGATAAGAAGTTGGGTTTCAGACACGTTAGATTTGAAGTACCTATAAGGCATCTAATCCCTTCCCTGCCAAACTAGAATGCAAGATCTGTAAGGATGAGGATCATGTCTTTTCACTGCTCCCTCCCCGGCACCTAGACACTAACTCAATCGAAAGCACTCAGTTGTTTAATAAGTAAATACGTCCAGGTAGATATGTCTAGTTAGTAACTTGAAATTCCGATTGGGTACTTAGAACATGAGGTTTGAGGTGAAGATATAAATTTAGGAGTTATTAGTCAAGAATGGCTGAGGTTGCTAAGGCTAGGTAGCACAGAGGGGAAACCAACATTTAAAGGCCAAGGAGAAGAAATGACTAATTAATGGGGCTGAGAGGGGTAGGAGGAGAATGAGAGAAGTCCCCGGAAGTTGAGAGAGTTTTAAGGAGGAAGTGGTCAAGAGTTATTGCCAAGGCAGAATACCACGATGTCACATAGACTGAGAAGTATTGGATTTGGAAATTAGGTACTCACTATGTGAAGGTTTTGAGAGACCAAGCCTAGCTTGACTAGAGGAACAGTGTATGAGCAGGTCCTGGAGCAGACAGGAAGATCAAATGCTCACGTGGACAGACTGCTCAGCCCTCCACAGCTTACCACTTCTGCTGAGAATGCAGAGGTGGTGGTGAGACTAGATTCATTTGTAGAAAGGTTTATTGAGGGGTCTGAGGGAAAAACAGTTGCTAGTGTTTATTTCTCTTGGATGTGGGAAGCAAGGTCACTTGTTGAGAGTGGGGGTAGAAATGTAGAGGGGTGAGGTAGTAAAAGTTTGGAGTAGCTGAAGGGGAACTGAGCAGATCTGCTCAGGACTGTTGAGTGGTTGTAAGTGCCTAATGCAATTTGCAGACCA